GAACAAATCCTGAGAAGAATCCTGAGCAAAATCAAATCCTCCAAATGATGATATTCCAAATCCTACCCAGAATGGTAAATAACCTATAACTGGATTTCCAGTCCCTAGCATGCAAAAAATCTTAAAATGTTAATGCTTTCATGCTTACAGTGTGAAGCCTGCTTGAACCTTGTTCCCGAACCTCCCCTTTGCCACCCTAGAGCCGTAGCCCTCTTGGTTCAAACGGCGGGACAAGCTGAAGATTAAGGAGGGTTTCTCGGGCGACGAGTTGAAGTTCTTCGACGACTATGTGGCCACCGTCCAGGCACGGCAGGAGATTGCAAAGGCTGCTCTGTCCGAAGATGCTTCAGGCACCGTGGATCTTCGGATCCTCATTCAACACCAGAAGGCTGAGAAGCGTCTCAGCATTGACGACATCGGTGAGTTGGAGACTCTCCGGGATGCGGTCCAGACTGCGACTGCTAAGGCGAGAGAGGCCAACACCGAAGACTGCATGAAGCAAGCCGGGCAGTTTCTGAAGGATAGCATTGCAACTTACAAGCGTGTGGTTGCTGCTGTGAATCGTGCGGCTAACGATCTCAAGCGTGCTGGGGACCAGAAGGTTAAGCGTGCAGAAGCAGATGTCGCCAAGAAGCGCAAGCAGGACGAAGCAAAGCAAAAGAAGGACCTCAAGGAGCTTCAGAAGAAGATGAAGCAGGGCAGCGGTGTGGAGGGTCCATTGCCTGGACTTTGGGTCGCTGGGCCAATGACGGAGAAGTTGTGCCAGCCGTTGCTTGTCTACGAAAGCTTGGATGCTCTGAAGAAGGAGTTCAAGGTTTCGGGGGAATATCGTTTCGGGCCGGGTTTAGTCTAGTCGGTTTAGTCTGCTGCGGCTCTGTTCTTATGTAGCAATATAGCAGGCTGACGGTCAGTTGCACGATGGCAAGCCGTACGTCGTCAAGTTCAATGCCACCGACAGCATCAAGACCGAGCTGGATAAGGACTCCGCGAAAGGCTTCCTTCAAATCTTTGAGACGCAGTTCCCTCTCAGCAAACAGGCCCGTGAGAAGGGCCGCGTGCAATCCGTCATGAAGGTGGAGTCGACGAATAAGGTCAAAGAGCTCATGCTTGAGTTTGTTTCCAGCAAGAGCGTGTGCTTCCAAAGCGCATCCGGCCCGAACCAGGATGCGGCTACCAAAGGCCCAAACTCAGACTTGGATTGCTTGCACACTTACGGTTTCACGAGCAGCATGCGCTTCAGCGGCACCGAGTTCATGGGGATGAGTGCCCTCCGCTACTCCGTGAAGGGCGATCGCGAGGTGGTCATCGTCCACGCAGCCGAGATGTGGCCCATCGTGCTCGAGCACCATGCGGAGGAGGCCGCGAAGTTGAGTGCGGAGAAGAACGTCACGAGCTTTACGGGTGAGAAGCTCATGTACGCCCAGTTCGAGGATGCTTGGGTGCAGGCATTGGTGAAGAAGAACTCCCCTATCATGTGGAAGGGCATTGTACCGGAGGGTTCCTTGTTCTTCGTGCCCGCCGGAGTGCTCTTGTTAGAGCGGAGCATCAACAACCGCCTCGGTATGGGCCTCCGCATGGCATTGGACGACACGTCACACTGCTCTGTCAGCAACCTCGATGTCCTGCTTGCGGCGCACATGATGTATGCAGATGCGAATGACAGGTTGGCGCTTCGTTGGCGAGATGTGCTGAACCGTGCTAAGAAGCCTGCGCGAGCAGCCGGCATGGTGGCACCGCCTGCGGCACCAGTAGCACCAAGCTAGATGATCCAGAATCCATAGTGTCATCTAGCATTTTTCTGTTGTACCAAAAGCGGTGCAGCAATGAACACCTGAACTTCTGTTAGGAGCTGAGAAAGCTTTTACTTTGTATAGCAGTCGCAGACACTCCGTCACTCAACATGTGTTCTAGCTCCATGTGTTTCTCGAAAGCTTTGGGGAAGCTCCTTGGGTGAATCTTCGCGATTCCTCCGAATCGCTGCGCTTTGAAGTTTTCTGTCGCTCAGCTTTGCAATGATGCAAGGCGCACAAACCTGAAAGCAGCTGCAGTGTTAAAGAGGTTTTGTCGTTGCCGTGCTTTGCCGCTGCACTCGTAGACGAATAGACGGCTGCAGATGTTTTAGTTCACCAAGCCCCAGCTCCGAAAAATCCCAAACCGTATCTTATCACAAAATCACAAAACCCTGGAGCACTCATGAACCTTTCGCGCTGCCGAGGTCGGACCACATTGCATCATTGCATCGGTGCTGGATCTGCGCAGCAAAAATGCTGGGCCTTTGAGGGTTGAACCCTAAACCCTAAACCCTAAACCCTAAACCCCCCTAAACCCCCCTAAACCCTAAACCCTAAACCCTAAACCCTAAACCCTCTCATGTCGAGCTGCCCAACAAATAACGAAGACCACTCAAACCATCAAAAAACTCCCAAAACCACACCTGTAACGGACCCCAGTCGAAGCCTCAAATCAGATAGGTTTGCGAATTCTGCGGTTGCCGTCGTCTTCTTGGCATCCTATATCTTGCCCCCAAATCCTAAACCCTAAAGGCCCTAAAGACCCTAAAACCTACGACCCTAGATTAGAACTGGCTCAAACGGCTCAAACATTGGCTCAGGCCAAAATTGGCTTTGAACGCCAGGTTTCGCTACAATCTTGCGCCCGTGGTTTTATGTCCCTCTCCAACGCTCTGTTTCACATGTTCTTGCTGCTCACAGGGTAAGATGAGCGCTTGCAATCAGCCTGAGTTGCAGGGTTTGTGAGACCATTATTTGTCGGCCCCGATGAAAATTGCTAGGAGTGAGCCTTCTGAGCCGATTGCT